GAGAATTATTTCTAGAATAGAACAGACCCCTTAAGGTAAGCACTGAAAACCCAGTTGTTTTGAAACATGTCAGCGTGCGGCTGAACAAGTAACTGGAGATTTTCCTGTGGAGTTTGGGATGACCCTACTGTCTGCTGGGAAGTTCTCTCTAAATCACAATTATTTGCAAAAACAGCTGAGTGTGTTCTGGTGTCCTGACACAATGCAGCATAGGTAACTGCCCCCGCCACATGTCAAATGCCTTTCAGAAGAGAATTGTAATACTTATTCATTACTGCCCTTCTTGGGTGGCTAGTAATGTTTTCAGCTGTTGTTCCCTCTGGAAGTGGATACATTTCAGTAGTAAGTGAAGTTCTCCTTACAGCTTGTAACTTTCTGTAGAAATTTCACGATTTCCAGAAGATGCCATTTACAAAAGTCACCAACCTAATATAGGGGAGCTATAATTTAGGTACATATGACACTATCTTCCCAGGTAAGGTGGAGAGGGCACAGTCAGTCAGTCTGTGGTCTTACCTCCGTCTAAAATATGACTAAGGAGAACAGCATTTTACCTCTTGGACAATTTTGGATCATGGACACACACACTTTTACTACACTCACATGGTAGAAGCCAGAAACTGTGTGTAAAAAGATTTATTATAATAGATTAGATAGAACGGGGAGAAAAAGATCTTAAAATTCCTGTAGGAGTTGACTTTTTTTTTCTTTTTAACTGTCTCTCACACACGCACACACTAATTTTTGTGGTCCAACCCCATCTACTGGAGTTAGAATAACTGCTTGGTACTTCTCACTACATCAAAGAAGAGCATATGCTTCAGGTCAGGTCCCCTTCATTCCTGCAGGGGAAGTGAGGCAAGGGAAGAGACATAACCAATACCTATATTCATGGATCTGTAAGTTGCATAAAAGGCCTCAAGTTTATTGCTAGTAATGAAAGTCTTGAAAAGTTATTCTCAGGTCAAATTCTGGAAATATTTAACTGGTAACGCAAAAAATGACCTGGGATTCAAAAACATATTAGCATTTAAGACTGTTACATAGGACTCCTTGAGGGAACAGCATATGGTCTGCAAATAGTATGATGTATATTTGAGGTAAGCATCATTTACCAGCCAGGCCATGAGCTCTGCTAAACTGTTAAAAGAAAAAAAATGCCCAAGTTATGACAGACTAAAAATTGCATGTTCTTATGCTGTAAGCTTCCGATCCTTACAGCATTTAACATTAAGCAATTACTTTTGTAACCAAAGTGTTGTAAGCATACTGACACTCATTCTCTAGTAACAGTAAGAACTGTTAGAACAAAAAGTTGACAACAACACTTTATGATGGTTTTTGCCAACTGTACTTATCATTTATAAACACAGATTTTCATTTGCTCTGTCCCACGTTCAAGACTGCCCTTTCATAGGGAAAGTCAGGAAAAGAAAAAAAGAAAAAGGAAATCATAAAAAATGAAGAAGAGAGAACATGTGCATATAATCCTGAGGTACAGAAAGAAGTATCAAGATATGGATGTTGCCATCATTCATAAGTTCCATACTGCAATCAATGTACAGTCACATTTAATAACCAACCAAAAATTAAAGACCATATTTTCTCCAGTTTGTAAAGCCTTTTTAGAAAGCTATTCATGCAACAGCTGTTAACTTCCACAACTCACTAAGCCAATCCTCTACATGTAGATATGAAATAAAAATAAACCCTTGTACTTATAAACATTAGTTATCAATTGCTTCACTATATAATACAAGAGATCATGAAAGATCATTCTCCACTGTATGCAATGCAAATAAGAAACATATTTTAAAGAGTGAGGGAGGGTAATCAATCACTGGAACAGTTTAGATATTCTAGTATTTGAAGTCTTTAAATTAAGATTCAGTACTTTTCTACAGGCATGTTCTAGTTGGCATGCCCAAGTCAACACATGGGAGGGATTGGCTAAAGAAGTTTTAAGGCCAGAAGTCTGATTACTAGGTCATATTCCACAAATTCATAATATAGTTATGACTGTGTGTGGTATCTTGAGGCACTTTTTTTTTTTTTTTTTTTTAACCCGTAGCTCCCCCCCCCACTCACACACTCACCTGCTTCTGGATCTGGAGGAATTCGCCACATATACAAGTTGAAGTCATCTGAGCCCGAGAGGATGTACTGAGAAGAAAAAAAAAAAGAAGCAAATTACAATGTGGCATTGTTTACGTTCTTTTTCCTAAAGACTGAGATTATTCCACTCCTTTAAGTCCTTTCAGTTTACTTATTTCCAGGTCTGAGCTGGCTGCCTCTTCGGGTAGGAATATTAGGACTGAGGATGGAAGACAACAGGAGTTAAAAGCCAACGTCTGCCATCCATGTTTTAGGATTAGTCTGCTAGACATGTCAGTCTCTGTTTCCTAACCCCCAAAGATGTTACGCCTCTTCTCCCTTCCTGGCTTTCCAAGGAACACTGCTTTAGATGCCACAGGCCCCACCTGCACCCCTGGTAATCACAAGTCAATCATTGTTGCTAAGAATCATTTAATTATTTTCTAGAGGAAAAGCTATCAAATTCTGGTGTCTCCTCCTGAATTTCAGGGCCTGCAGCAAATACATTTAACACAATACCCTTTCTGGTTCATAATTTTGCTGGGGAAATTATTAAAAGGCCCCTCTTCTCAGCTGCCTATAAGGGTATACAAGCTCCTTACATGTACAAAAATGTATTTCAGATTGCTTTAAGCAGTCTTTACTTTGTAAACTAAAAATGCACAGCATAAAGATGACAAGGGGATACTGAAAAGGAAGAACAGCTCCCTTCTTGCAGTTGTGACAAAACACAAATTACCCCTTATAACTTCTGCCAAGCATCCCTTCTCCTACAACACGATCTTTAAATCCTCTCTTTCAACCTCAAGTATGGACAAGAGGACACAAACAAGTGCAGATTCTGATCTCGCTATGCAGAGGTTAAGCTCACATTGCTGAGGTCCGCTGACTTAGGTATTCATTCACGTCAGTGTAAACCTGATCACCCTAGCTTCCCCCCAAAAACATCACTCCCCCCCCCTTTAGGGTAAAGGGGTAAAGAGCAAAGAAATGGGAGTAAGCCTGCACTTTTCCTGACCCCAAAAAAGATAAATTCTACTTGTCTGGCTCACATTTTACCAGTTTCTGGTCTACATTCTCCAGGGATGCATAAACTCATGCAACAGAGTGATAATGGACTGTGAAGGGACAGTTCCTGAGATCTTCAGAAAGGCTTGAGAAACAAAAATAAAAGCCCGACTAGTACAGGGGGAGAAGGGAAGGAGCACATATCCTCCTAACCGTTAACAACATTTATTACTTTTCTTTTACAGGCTGTGTACACAGGGGCAGCAACGCAACACCAGATTTCTGGAATTTCCTAACCAATACCCTCAAGCCAACCATTCTTTTCTTCTTGCTATATCATTTTTTTAAGGCTATATGGGTATGAGTAAGCACCTATCAATTCAATTCTGCCTGTTTGCTGCCTGCATTGCTTCAATACCAGTTAACAAAACATGTATGCACTGGCTCTGTACTGCTGAGACCCTTCCGTTTGTTGCCAAGCCCTCCAAAGAGAGTAATTTCTACAAGCTAACACACTGAGGCACTCAGGCAGCTTACCACTGCCAAAATGACCTACTAGTGCCAGAAATATAAGTGCTTCCCTCTCATTTGACAGCTTATAAATGTTTAACCCACAACAGGCAGAGCTGCTTTGCCAGATCTACACAAATCAGGGTTCATGCAGGCAGCCTCCCAAAATCCAAAAACAAAGCAGTTCTACATACAGTATTTGTTGTATAAGCAAAGGATACATGAACTGTTTTGCTGTTCTTTAAATTATACAAGTCATTGCCACCACAGAATCTGGAATTGGAACTTGCTATAGGGTGTAAGATTGCCCTTGTTTGAAACAAAAAAAAAAAGGGGGGGGAAAAAGATCCTCAAAATGCCTTAAAGAATGGCTTAACATTTTAACAGCATTTCTCCCACAGAACCGAAAAAAGCTCCAAACAGTTATGCCCTAACTTGGGCTCTCTTCCAAAACTGTTTAGCATCTCACCTTTTGCTCTGAAGGTCATAGGTACTACAAAAAGAATACATCAAAAGGTATTAGTTTTAGTAATTATGTATTAATTATATATTAAATAGAAAAACCACACCCATACAACCCACCTGGGAACTTCATGATGCATCAGGCTGCAGCCTTATAAAAGACTCTGGCTTAGGAGCAAACCTTCTTGAATACTGCTCATTTGAATTAAGACTTGAACAGATCATAACAAACATGGGAGGAACAACCTGCACCATGCATATAGGCTTGGTAGTGCTACGCTGGTTAGCTCTACAGATGAAAGGGACTTGGGGGTCATGGTTGACCACAAGATGAACATGAGCCTTCAGTGTGATGCTGCCATATGTGGCCAGTTTGAAACTGGTTCATGTGCACTGAACTTATGTTCTGTTCCAGGTTTAAACCCGTTTCTGATCACTTAAACTGGTCTGTGTAATGTTTGTCCCTACCCCATATGACAATATATCGTTTCCAGTTATAAAGCTTCTGTCTGGACAATTTCCTTAACTATTTATTAAAGTGAAGAAAAGTAATTTCTCAAGATTAAATAACATAAAGTTTGCTTAATGAATTTTGTTTCTAATTTCAACTCACTCTATTTTATTAGTAGTCGTTAAAGGTGCACCGGTACATCAGTCCCATATGGGATTGGCACCGATATAGGGAAAATT